CATTGTTTTTTCTTGTCTCTTAATCCTTACTTCCAGTTAAAAAAAAAAAAAAAGGCAGGAGGAATGACATTCAGTGCTGTTATTCAAGATACTTGCTCTTAATTTGTATGTGCTGTTTGTTTCTTGGAATGAAGGGTGTAAATTGTATCTTGAAAGGAGTGGTTAAACAGCTAAATATTCAAGACCTCAATGAGTTTGGGCAGATTTTTTTAATGAAACTTTTGTTTGTGATTTACATTGTTTTTCTTTACACCTTGTCACACAGTTCTGAAAATTAGTGAAGAGGAGCATGTAGTGCTGTAGTTACCTGTTAGTGTTATTGGTCATGGTGGGAAATCTTAGGTGGTTAGCATCTCCTCGTGTAATAACTGGGGGATTTCATTAGTGGTTAGATTTTTCTTCATCCCCTCTTCATCCAGATGCTGGGTACTTTACTCTTTCTATATAGGTTTTACTTGTTACTCATCTCTTTTTTCTGATGTAAATTATTGCACAGTTCTTGAGGTCACTGTGTAACTCTATTTTTTTTGTGTTCTGTTTGGTTTATGTACTTCAGATAGTTTGTGATTTTTGCAGGACCTTTATTTCTTACTCCAGGTGGAAGTAAGCAGTAAATTCTTGGACAACATCCACTGTTAGGTAGAAAGGGCATAAAAAAAAAAAAAAAGGATTGTACACTTGAGACTGGTTTAAGACAAGTGGTGCTCAAAAGTTTGGACTTTGCTTAAAAAACATGGAACCCTATGTGTAGGAATCCAGTAATATATGTGCTGTTACTATATTTTCACTGTCCCAGAAAAAAAACCAAAATGTGTATTTGGTTACTGAAATACTGCTGCGTGTTGTCTTTAAGTGACAAAAAGTTGCATTCAGTTACCAAGTGAAGCATTCGGAAGCTTTACATTGATGGAATTCAGGCTGGCTGTGCTATTTTAGTCCTTGGCTGGTCCACGGCCCTAGTTGTTTTGTGCATTTTTCTGGAATCCTCATCTACACTTGTCAGAAGGAATTTGAGGTGGGGTGTTCACCTGAGTAGCTCACACCCTAATTTTTCCTAACTGGCAGGTCTGTCATACTTGAACAGTAGTTCAGGCTAGCTGTAATGAACCTGCATTATTTTCAGTAGTAAATATTAAGCCCTGATCTGTAATTAATTCTTCGGGCACTGTAACTGGCTTTGCTGTGTGATTAAGAGTGTAAAAAAACTCTCCTTGTGTCAAAAATCTTCACAAGCAACTTCAGGCTTGGCTTTACTTATTACTCACTGGATGTACAAGCATTTGCAGTCTGCATGTAATTAACAAATAAGTGTGCTTTGTTGAGTCTCCTTTTCCTTTTCTTTCCAGATATTACAGTCTTGCTGTAATATAGCCATTGTTCATTTTTAGCAAACAGGCTTGTCAATATTCTCGTAATCCAGTACTACCATATTGCAAGAACACAAGCCCCAAAGCAAAATGTAAGATAACAAATTCAGCCAGTGAAAAAGGTGAAAATTGACTTTGAGGTGATGATAGAATGGTGAGAAGTTAAAGCTTTGGAAATTTTCCCTGGTGGTGTCATCCCTGTACTCCATCTTAATTTAAAATGATGTCTGTATTAGATAGAAAGATCTCAACATCTGTAACTTTTTAAATACAAAGAAATTTATTCGTATACACTTAAAGAAGAAAAAATGGTTGCTGTGTAGAGAAGCTGCACTGATCAGCCTCTTTTGCTTTTAAATCAGGGTTTCAGGTTATTAAGTATGTTGTTTCACTTGGATTGTAACACTTCCGTCACTTTACGTTGCCCTTCTATACTTTAAAACCTTAGTAGAGAGCAAAGTACTTAAGACTCTAGTTGTATGCAAACACCTATGTGCAAATGAAATTACCACACTCAGTAGCATTTCACCTATGCATAAAGGTGTTTGGTCCTGGTCCCTCGTCAGTCAGTTCGCATTGGATGTTTTTGACTGATAAAATCCATTGCCTTTAAGAGGACATTGAATGTTTTTTTGTTCCCGAGGTTACAAAGCAGTATGCTGAAACTATTTGTTGCTTTGGCCCCATGAACCTCTTGGCAGTAAGGGCACAGGAGCCCCCTCACAAGCTACAGGATTGGGTACTTAAAGTATGAATTACATTGATAGATAAAATTACAATTGTCAGAAAAAAACTTAGATTTTTAGAAACGTATGTTTATCTCTAAATTAATTTGTTCTGATGTGTGACTTAGTGTTTTCAAATAGAGGTTTTAAGTAGTTGACAATATATTAATTGATACAGACTTTATTGATAACTGTTTTTATGATGCACATATGCACAAATGATTTCACATGGATTAATGTAAGATTGGCAACTTTTATTTAATACAAAGTGGATAAGCTAGGCAGAATAAAGGAAATGAAAATTTTTAGTTGAATGCATTCTTTTCCTGGAGGAGTAGTAAATTATAATTATCTTTGCCTATTCAAAACACTGTTACAAGTACACTAAAATAAATCAGAAATGGTTTTTGAAAAAATTTAACCTCTAGAGCCAATAGTCTGATTGATGAAAGGAAGGTTTGCCAATAAGCATGCAATTAACACTGTGCTGCTACTTCTGTTATTAATAAAAGTGTACTTTCTCAGTGCAGTTTTATAATTAGTTCATAGGCAAGTGTTTTAAAACAAAACTTTGTGATGAAACTGAGTATTTATAGCACAGAAATAATTTTTACCAAATGATACGAAAAATAACTAAATCCCCCAAATTAATGCACTTATGTAAATTAGCTATGAACTTGTTATTCATTCTTCAGCTCATCTTAACTGTAAGTGTTGTTTATACTATAGGTCTGCATATGGAAAAAACGAGAGAATGGCTGGTAAACTCCAGTTTAGTAGGCTCACCACAGATGAAGGCAAGACTTTCCTTTCCAGGAAAAGAGCTGTCTTACACTTCTTTAGAGTGGAGAGTTTCTTTAAATGTGGTGTAAGCTAAAGAATGGGAATTCTGCATGTTTCTGTTTGTTTTTCCTCCCTTTGACTGTAGTAATTCTGTTTCTACTGCTGAAGTTTTCATTAATACTTTTTCAAGTTTTATTTCTTAGCTTAAAAAACAAAGACATTTTAGAAATCTCTTCACTGACAACTGCTTATCTTTGATGGCAGCTGGTAGGAAAAAACATAGTAAGGTGTATTTAAAAAAACAAAAGTCCCTTTTATGTTTCCACATTTCTGAACAAATGCCTCAAAATAATAAAAGTGATTGTTTAAAAGTGTTTATATTTTGAAGAGTGTTGTATTTTTTAACTTGGATTCTTGAACATTGACTGAACTTTCTACAGCATTTTTGCTAGTAAATAACTATCTATAAGTTGATATAACTGGGACTTCAAGAAAAACATGAGGTATAACAGTTGCTAATGAAGATGTTAAAAACTTACTAAAGCTTTCTCTGTTCTTCATACATACTGTGATTCTTATTGAAATAGCTATAATATTTAAAGTACTACCTTGAGCTATTTTTTTAAGATGTGCATAGATAAAGTGAATGAAGAAAATCCAAATTACAGGTTGTATAATGAGAAATGCATGTTTCAAAAACTTTTACTGGAATCGCTTGACTCTTGGCTTCCTCTTGAATGCAGAAGGTATGAGGCTTCTGTAAATATCTGGGTAGACAAGTTTTCAACTTTTTCTCAACTTTTCTGAGTAATCTGTGTCCTTACTACCTGATGTCATGAGGGAGATGAAAGCAGAGCTACCAGCAGGACATAGTGCAAAAGGGTGAATAAGTAGCTTACTGGTAGTGTTGAATGAAGAGGGGAGATGATACAACTATTCTCAGGACAGTCTTCTAGGAAAGCTTTTGTCTTGGTATCCCCTTTTTATGATAGTCTTCTAACTAATATGACAAGCTGCTATAGTCCCTTTTGTTATTAGGACTATACAGCACCGTTGTGTTTAATTCCCTCCTTGTCTTCTTAAAGGTCTGCTGCCTAAAGCACAGGTCTACACCGTAGTCCTCTTTCTTGAGGCCTTTCTGGATCCTGTGGTCAGAGGCTAGGAAGCCAGGAGAGTATTTGTTTTCCCAAAATGTTTTTGTCATTTGTTTTCCCAGCTTCCATATGGAGTAAATTTGATGTGTATTCTGTGCTGTTCTAGTGATTGTGACGTTCTTGTCCGTATTGATTCGTTTCCTGATTTTTTTGGTAATTTTTACAAAAATAATGAAAACCGTTAAACCAAATGGCTGTGGTCCTTGACCTTCCATGACAATAAGTAGCTTTTGCAGCTGAGGGTTTTGATCAACCACAGAAAGCTATTACAATTGTAGTCTTGTGCCCTACATATGGTATGCAACCAGAGAACCATTTCAAGCATTGAGATTTACCAAAACCCACAGATGGTATTTGTAAAAAAAAAAAAAAAAAAAAAAAAAAAAATTAAAATGTTTTCTTAGTGTTTTGCTCAATAGCAGGATATCTCCCAGTTTAGTAATCTGTCTCTTGTTCCTTTAATGCCTTACACTGGGCTGAGGTGGTGTGGAAAACAATTTCTCTTTCACAGAGATACTCTCTTTTCTGTAGTTTCCTCCCCTTCTGCCTTTTTTTTCTGGAAACTGCAAGCTTACAACCTCTGTACTGGTTCTTCGTCCTCTGTTCCTTGTTGCCATAAGAAGTGGCAGCATTCTGGAGTGTGCTGATCTCTGTCTTTACTAAACATTCAGTAGTTTCACTACACAGATTCCTTGGCTGTAGTCTTATTCACATTTTCAAGGAGCTAGTGACATAGACGCTGTAACACCTGCAACCCTGCATTTGGTTTTAATTTTGGCTTAACTTCTGTGTACATTTTTACAAAATACTTAGTTTTTACTGTTAATTGTATTTAGCCTGCTTTTTGTAACCTTTAGTCAATTAGCTTGTATTTATCCATCTGTCACTTGTAATGTTTGAAGTTACTAGGAAATTTCCACAGAACACAAGGTAAAGGTAGAATCTCAGAGTATTCAGTTACTCTAACAAACATGCCCGAGTTTTGGCTGGCAGGGGGAGAAGGAAAAGGTGCTGCTAACATTTGTCTGGCCCTCAGGAAGCTGAGAGGCACCGTGTTCTTCTTGCTTCGCTTTGCAGCCAGAAGGCCAGGATCATCTCAAACAGCCTACCCAGAAGACCCAGCAAAGTTTGTGGAGGATGAGGGTGGGGACCAAAGGTATCAGCTTTCAAATGCGGGAGGCAAACTGTAGGAAAACATATTTCTTGCTTGTCTGGGGATAATTTTATTGATAGATAAAACAGTAGTAGGTCTGTTTTAATGCAGATTCTTCTGTAGGGACAAGTATACAGCAAATCTGGTATTAGAGTAAGAGTTATCTTTCTTAGTGCAGAATAGTGAACTTTCAAACAGGGAAAAAAGTACTTATTCTAGAAACTGTAATATAGTTGAAAAAAGGCAAAAGGAAATGATGGTTTCACATCATGGCTGTCTCATGTTTTTTGATGAAGTCTTGCTTCTGAGGTGTTGTTGCTTTGAAAGTTCTCACCATATATGTTACTGCAGAGCTGATTAGCTTGGATTGATCATGATCTCCTCGCAAGGGCTTATACATTGGTATCAGAAATGCAGTGACTCTACATGTAAACATATTTTTCTAGCCGGTACCTGGTATTGTTAATATTTGTGCCTTACTTTAATATTTTGTGTAAATGCTAGAGATACCAGCTTCAGTAAAATGTTTTAAAATCCTTGAAGGAAAATCACTGTAATTGTGATTGTGTAGAATCAAGAAAGAATGTTAAAATACTTAAGACGATACAATTGAAACTCATAAGTAGATGCAGTAGTGCCCAAACTGAACATCTGCATTCTAGCTGTTTGGAGAGATGATTGCACCCAGATGGCTTAAAGGACCTCCTAGACGTTATAAAATGATTTGAATTGCTTGTGCTTTTCATGGTTTAAAAACTGATACTGATCAACAAACTTTCTTTTAAAATCTGTATATGAGATTATAAGTGGTCTTTATTCCTGTTTTCTTTATACCGTTGAATAATTATCTTTGAATTACTGGCGTAGCTCTCTTCTGATTTTTCACACTGGACACTGCCCTGTGTCCTCATGTGCCCTCTCCTTCCTGCACTTTCAGCCTCCACAGGTTTGACAACATGGGACTAAAATGAGGGAGTTTGCCTGGAGCACAGCTCTGTCATGGTTCTGGTTGAGCCGGTGTTAACACCAGTATAGCTACTTCTTGCTATCAGTCTTATGCTCTTTTCCCTTTGAATAATCAAACAGAAAATTGGGTTCTTAAGCTAAGATAAAACCCAAAAATCCTTTTTGACTGTTCTGGGCTAGCAGGGAGACTTTTGGGGGTTTTTTTTGGACCCTTGTCCTGTTTCCTTTCTAGCCTTCAGTTGCATTCCTATCCCACTTTGGGTGGCTGATCCTTACGTTGGAGACCCTGTGTGCTTTGTTGTTGTGGAAACTGGATGCTTCTAGCCACCTCTGCCAGTGGGGGAAGCCCATCTGCCCTTCCCAGGCCCTGAAGACTTCTGTGCTACCTGCTACGTTTCCATGTATGCTGGGGTATAAAAGTTAGATGAATTAATTATTAGAACTCTGATAAGTAGATCTAGTTACTTCAAAGCATAAATCAGCTGAGAAGCACTTTCTTGCATGTATTTGAGTTACTTTTCTGTCTTGAACTGGTCACTCCCTGTGTGGTGAAGTGTGTAATAGTGCTGATGTGATGGGGTGAACAAGGGCAATGGGGGACTTCCCTTTTGGTGACAGCTAGCAACCCACTTGCTTATCTGTATCCACATTCATAGATCAGTTTAGTTTCTGTTTGTTGTAAGCACCAGTATAACCAATTTAAACAAAAGAGGGGGGGAAGCTTAGGCTGTAATTTGAACCAGTTGTGCTCATGACAGTTCAGTCCTCCTTCTTGTCCTAGTCTCATGCAGTTCCCTGTCATGGGCCATTTTTGCAGTTATATAGTGAACTAGATGGGAGAACTTATCTAGGTGAAAAATTGACTGGCAAGAAATTTATTTACCTTTAAACCAAATTAACTTCCCCTTTCAGTTTACCACTGGGCTTCAGAGCACATCTGTGTGGGCAGAGGGAAGAGGGTGTCATAGGGATTGGGAGAGGGCAGGACTGCTGCAGAGCCACATTGCTTTCACTGAAGTTAGTAGAGCTGAGGCACGTAGCCTGTGCTGCTGTTTCGTGCCATGTCATTTGGCTGAACTGATTTGTCCTTTTTAAAAAGGACAAGCTTAAAAGTTATGACAGCTTTGTGATGTCTGTAGCATAATAAATGCTTGGTACAGTAATTGCACTGATATTCTGCAGAAAGTTAAAATGAAGAATATTTAGTTGTAATTATTTTTTCTCAGTCATGAAAATCAGAGCATAGAAGCAAATCTAAGTCATGAGCTATTTGTGTTTGGTACTTTCGTTGTATTTACAGAAGACACTTTGTTTTCCTTTTTTTGCTGTAGAAATTCCAAGTAAGAAATTTTTGAGGGGAAATGTCTTTATTTCAGATTGTGTATATTGCTCATTGTAATCCTCTGTTTTCTTGCCAGATTCCCCATGTAATATCACGTATGCAATACTGTGTAACCTCATAATGTAACCTCATAGCATGAGGAAACTTTGAAAGATGATGACTTAAAACTGACTAGAGAAATATTAGTCTCTGTTGCCTTTTGATCTAGAAGTAACTGAAGATACTCTGAAAAATAGTGTTTGAAAGCAGTAGGTAACTTAAATTCTACTTCTTTCCTTAATTTTAATACATTGCACTTTTAATTTCTTTCATTTCATCTAGATTTTTTAATAAACAACTATAAAATGAAATTATTTTCACTGAAAATAACAGTCTATCTGACCAAGTTTTCATAATGTGAGCATCACACCTGATGCTATTCTGAAGCATAATATCAGCATCAAAGGGTGACTAAATAGTGTACTTGAGGAGGAAAACCAGGTATTTGGTATAACTGTGTTGGACTATGCAATATTCTGAACAAAGATCCTTTAAAGGGTTTTTAACTCAGAAGCTATGAAGTAAAAAGCTGTGCTTGATAAATTTTTATCCCTTTGTTTTGAAGACAGTGGATTTGGAAGTGCAGTTTTTTTTTTCCTAAGTGATCTGTGTTGTTTAACTATTCAAAATCACTAGCTGTATGCAGAGTACTGAATTCTGTTTTGAGACAACTGAAAGCAAACTGCAACTGTACTTTTAAGTGCAGAATTCAGGCACCAGCATTTGTTTGTGTTAAGTTGAATTTCTCAGTGAAAAAACTCCTTGGTTCTACATTGAAGAGGCTTCTTAGTGTGGTGTAGTTGTTTTTGTTTTTTTTTTAAAGAACTGAAGTCTTCCGCATAGGAATACAAATTTCAGGTTGTGCTCTAATATGTGCTATATTTTTCAGCTTTGTGACGGTGAGTAAAAAAGCCAGTTTATACAGATAACGTACATAGAAAAAAAATATTAGTATCCTGAAATAAAAGTAATTTTCAACTTTTGTGCAATCTGTATGCAAACCTTTATTTAGTAAGGCAGAAATTACAATGTGCTGTCAGAATTTTCACCTTTGTTTTTGATTCATTGTGCACATTGAGCAGAACAGAAATATTCAGGGTATTGCTCATATGTATCTGAGTAATTTTAGATCTTGGGCTTTCCTGCCTTGTGATCTGTGTGGTCCTTCCATAGTACTTTATGCTGTTAATTTGTGACAGTTTTAGTATTCTAGTCTATGTTATGTAAACAATGCTGTTATTTCTGTAGATTGACTTTGTCTGATGTATAGATAAGAAAAAAAATTTTTTTTAATATTTTTGTTTTTTTCACTCTTGCAGAAAATTCTAAGCTGAGACATGTAGAAAAAGATGTTTTGATTCCACAAATAATGAGGGAGCGAGCCAAGGAGCTGTGTTCAGATGAAGTGCGAGGTAAGAGTCAAATATTCGTTGGGAGGTCAGATGTATTCACATTTGTGCTCTGAATATAATCCTTGGTTTTGAAGTCAAGTAGTCAGAGAATTAATATGTATGATCTGCATCTTATCTGTTCACTGTGAAACCAGTAGTAAAGCGCATAAATCTGCCGTGTTGGCTTTGGCTGCTTGGTGATGTGAACTACTTTCCAAAATGGCTTGTTCTTGAGGGCTGTGGAATTTAGTATAATTAATATAAAATTTTCCACATCTCGATCTAGACTATGTGATGATGGAGCAACACAAAAGTTACTATATTCCTTTACATGATATTTGATATATTAGATAAATGGAATTGCCTCATGTGAGCCTTCAGTTAGGGCCTCCCTCATTATGATAAATTTATTTAAATATTCTCAACTAACTGCATCCTTTCCCTGCCCCAGTGTTTTAGTGATACATGCACTTAAACACACGCGTGTTATTAGACTGATGTTGAAATAGAATGATGCAGTCCCCTTTTGCATGTTTTCATTTTCTTTTGAAAGGTACCGGACAATAACTCTTTATAGTTGGGTATCACCACTTCTTCTGAAACCCAACTGTTCATATATTTCTGGAAGAAGTCTAGAACTTTTTGAAGTGACAGAAAGATAAAGCTACTTATGTATAGGTTAGCTGAGAATGTTGCTGTAAGAGGGATGTAAGAATAGGAAAAAAAAAATTAGGCCACAGAATTATTCTTCACAAGTAGCATGCTTTCAGGAGAGGGCACTTGCCTCTTGTCATCTAGATTTGTGCTCTCTAAACCTTTTTGATTGTGCACCCCAAAAAAAATTTTCTGAGCACGCAATCCCTATATGTGTATATTTATTTATAAATTATATACATATTCCACTGTACTAGTATATTATTTACATTATAAAACACAAAAATAGAAATTAAAAATGGATGAGATAAAAATGAAATAAACAGTACTTTAGAATAATTTTTATGTTATTTGTCAATGGTGCAAACCTCTTTTTGCTCTAAAAATATTAATGATATTTTTATTGAGAGCTATATGGTTAAATATTATTCATTGTTTTTAAAAATCGTTGTTAAACACTTTGTGATACAGCAATTCAAAGTCCTGGTTCTAAGTTCAGTTTATTTCCGTACTTGGTTTTGATGGGTGTCATAGCTGAAAAAGATACCTCACAAAGATGCGTAGCTCCCGCTGGAAGAAGTGCATCGTTGCCTGCGCTTACTAAATCATCATACTCATTTTTCAATCCCATCCCCCAATTATGGAAAGGTTTTTCTTGAAAATGGGCTGATAAATGACCATCTTCCCTGATGCCAAACTAATTGGAAGGTGTTGCACATTTATACTTTTAACAAATAGGTTCAAAATCCACTGAAACTCTCATTGGGAAGACTTTTAAATAGGTGAGAAAATTCTGCTTCTATCCTCTTAAAGTGTACAGATATGAGAGGTTTTTATAGGTGACATATTTACATTGTTTTGGTTTGGTTTTGTTACACAAAAAACACATAAGGAGGGGAACATATCCAAACATCTGTTTTCAAAATGCTGTCTCCATAGCTCAAGTTTCTTTTGAAAAGCAGTTACTTGCTCAGTCATTGTTAAAACGTCACCTTCACCTTGAAGGGACACATTAAGTGTGTTCATTTTTTGGAAATATCTGCTAGGTAGCAAACTCCTCACAGCCACCTGTCATCACCAGAAAGGTCCACAAATTTGGAACACTTGTCTTTTCGTAAAAGAAAAATGCGTAAAGTTTGACAACTCATTTAAGTACTTTGCCACAAGATAACCAGCAAACCTCTGTGTGGTGCAAGAGATTTCCATAGTCCCTCCCCCTCTCATTACAAACTCTGGTAAAGATTTTACTAGTTGAAGGGATTGATTCTGTAAAGTCAACCACATCAGTGTCGTCCTGTAGCACTTTCTGCACTTCTGGCTCCAATTTCATTGCTGCAATAGCTCACCTATGAGTGATGCAGTGAAGGAGTTTCATCTCTGTAACCTTACCCTGGGATCCCTTTTTTATTCCAGTCAAAGCAGCCGCTCCATCAGTGGTTATACTTGCACAGTTTTTCCATAGAACATTGGTTTTTATTAAAGAAGCCATTTCCCATGGAGAATGTATCTTCTGCAGTAGATCTCTCTTGTGTGGCTCACAAAAAAAAATAATTCTTCATGCATTTCATTATTGAAAGTCAAATATCATAATCTGAGAGAAATTAGAAACGTCTGCAATTTCATCTAAGTGTACAGCAAACCTCCCACACTGTGTAATTTGTTCTAATACTTGTTTCTTCAAATCTTCAGCAGTGTCTTCTGTGCACCTTCCAACAGTATATACTGACAAAGGAGTGTGTTGTACTTTGTTGCCACATTGTTTTGCCTGTATTATTTCAATGATTTTTACTGTGGCAGGAAGAACAAATGTTTCCCCAGTGGTATGTGGCTTTTTGACTTTTACCTAAGAAACTTCAAAGGAGGCTTCTAGACATTTATCATTAGGTTTAGAGTCAAGTCTAGTTAAAGTGGACCAGTATATTTTCAAGCAGCTGCTTTTAGGGGTTCCCCAAAAGACATAAAGGAGTAGTGTTATAATAATTTTGAGATGAGTAAGTGGGGAAAAAGAGTTGGGAATATCTGCCAAAGGAAAGTGGCAGCACATGACAGGTAACTTCCAGTGCTGCCAGAAGGACTTAATAAACCTTCTTTTCACTTGAATGATAGTTGAATCATTTTTAATTTGAACTCTGTACCTGTTGGGGAAAAATAATGAAGAGGAAAAGCAATTACAATAGTGTGAGTCATTGAAAGAGGATGTCAGTTATTTTGAGAGCATGCTATTTGTATAATATTCTTTGGGGTAGACCAAAGGGGAGTGGGCGAGTGTGTAGGGGGTGTGTGTGTTTTTTCTCCTCTGAACTTCCTCTGTGTAAGATGAGGACTACTGGTTTCAGCATCTTAATTTTCTCTGGCAGCAACCAGTATTGGAGATTCTTGAGCTGTGAGTTGTGGACCATTATCTTGAAGCTTCTCCGTGTTTTTACCTCCATAAATTTTAAAGCAAAATGCTTTTTTTTTTTTTAAATATTTTTGTGGTGTTAGGCAAAACTATAATTTTTTTTGTTCTTTTTCCTGAATAGTGGTAAGTTGTGTGTCTTTAGGAAAATGAGGTTTGTGGATGCATCTCTCTCCCCCTCATTCCTCTGTCACCTGTAAGCCAGCTTTGATCAAATTGTGTAGAAGTTAGAGATGGAAACTGAATATTTCCGATGCATTTTTTCTGATCGAACAGACAAGCTAAACCTACATTCATGTCCCTATTAAAAAATAGGTGGTAGCATCACTTCAGTTATTTTGTTGTACACCTTTTATTCTGGACAGGGGCTAGAGATCGAACCACGGGTAAGAAAGCTTAAGCAGTTTTGTGAACAGGAGAATTTATCATCTCTTAAATCTCTTGTGAAATTATTCCTGGAATAAATTTGTCTTGTTAGTGCACAGGGATAGGTGTTAATCAGAGTAAATAGGCTATGCTTTTTATGCTGTAAACAATTATAAGCCATGAATGTAAGCTGTGTAATTAAGTAATCAAAACTCCTGCGAGCGGTTTGTGTGCTACAGAGTGCACACATGTGCATGATACTGTGCTGTTTACATTAAGTGGCATAGCTACTCATTTAACTTGCTTTCAGTGTAGTATTTTTCTGTTTTATGTTAATTTTGTTTGAACAACTATTAATATACCTTTGTTTCGTTCTGTCTTTAGGAAATTGTGGTAAATGCATTGGTAATATAGGAAACAAAGCTATTCTACAAATATGGGCTTTTTACAATTTACTTGATCGTGCTGGGTTCATATCTGTCCCTATGGGGAGCCCCTATACATTCAATAGTGCTCTGCGTGAGCACGGGGGTCCATCTGTATACAGTCCGTTACCTTAGCCTGCAGCTATACCACCTAGAGCTGTGTGCTTATCAGAGCTAATAATGCAAGTAGTGACAGCCTGTCCAGCACGTGTTCAAGAGCCATCTAGGGAAAATAAACCCCAAGGGTTAAAAAATAAATAAAAAATAAAGGTTTTGTTAACTCAGGAGGTGATCCTGCTACCCCTGGCATGGTTAAATCGGTGACCTATTGCTGTGCTCGGGTGTTAGCGTACCAGAGTACCTTAGGGATGAAATAACAATGAAAATGTGTCCATCTGATAATTTTTAAGAACAATTAAATATTGTGCCTGGTTGTATTTCATTTTACTTTGAACTTTTTTCAGATTGTTCCAGTATACTTCTTGTGTGTTGCACGTTTCTCAAGAATTTAGTACATCTTAGTTGCAGAATAATTTCTGTGTGTTTAAGACATTCAAGCACTTTTTCAGTGAAAATGGATTTGTTATTTTGTTAAGAGGGTAAACATGCTTTCTGCAAAACAGTAGTCAATTTTCCATGACCGTTATGTAAATATGCTTTATTGTGTTAATATTCATGCATTGTATGTATGTGAAATTCTGGGCTATTATAAGAGTATCAAAAGTGTCATAAAAAACAAGCAAATGGAACCCCCCCCAACATTATCATACAGGAACTTTTAACTGTATTTGTGCTAACTGTAGCATGAGTTTGAAATAATAATAAATCTATGTATTTCTTTATCTATGTGTCCTTGGCATATAAAAATACATGCTTTCAAACTGAAGTAGCTAAAAGGAGTACTTATTTGCCATTGACTCATCCATTGCTTTTATGAAATAATTTAAGCAAACTGTTTTCCTTTAAAATTGTGAAGTGTTAGGCTTTAATTTCCAGTTATAAAATTTATACTTGATTAAACTTATTTAAAGCAAAATCATAGCAAATTTCAGGAACCTGAATTTAGCATTTGTCATCCAAAGGGTTATCTTTAGCTTATCAAAACTTATGTAGTTTCATTTGGTTGTGCTGTGCTTTCCATGAATCCTCTGTGCTCTTAAACAAGAGACAAGTGTTAA